GAATAAGCTAATTAAACTGTAGTTTTCAGTGTCTGAAGACATTTACAGAATTCTCCAACTTTCTAGAAGCCCTCTGCCTGCCCAAGACTCTAGTGAAGTTTGTACCAAAACTCTGATGAAGATGTCAATTCAGGAAAAATAAAATTTAATTTAACTTTGATAATTCAATATCAGGGATGTGTGTTATATTATGAAATTGGTCCAATTTTAGAACTCACAAAAACTATTTACCACTTTTTTAAAAAAAATGTAAGGTATTCATTACACTTTAATAAGACTCTCCAACCACTTATCTCATTTCAGAATCACAGGGATGATATCCTTTATAAAACCTAAATGCTGTTTAGTGCACATCTTTGGTTTAGCCATTATAAAAAGCGAGCCTTTGAACTATCCACAACTCCTCAAGGCACTGTCTCATTCCCAATTCCCTGCCAATCCAGAGAAATCCTGCCCAAGATGCACACCTGGGAAGGTGCGGGGAAGCAACCCCTCCGTGGTGTGCACTTATGCCTGGTGGACTGCCCTGAGGAATGGGTGACAGTGGGAGTAGGTCGGGTAGGAATGAATGCACTTCTCATTTCTTGAGGACTTTAGGAGGAGCGGTCCAGCACTAGGAATCTATGAAGAAGCCGAGAGAAGGGGTTAGGGATAACTATCTTTCTCACCAGAAAGCCTGAAATATCTGGAAGCTAAGACACCCCTCACGCCCTTGTTCCTGCCCCCCATTTCCTGGGAGAGCCTAAGGCACAGCCTGGAAGCTGAGGTGCAGAAGCCTTCCTCACTCTCTTCCTGGAGGCAGTCAGCTGCCACCACAGGCCTTCACCAGGGAGAGAGAGAGAACTCTCACCTTTGGACGCTATTAATTTCTGTTCAAATACTGGATATTTGGGGACTTAAAGGATTCGTGAGACTGTGATTTATTTAAAAATGAGCAGAAAAGTATTGGGACCTATCCATGTTTTCTCCCAGGGTCGGAAAAATATTATCCTCATTGAGATTATTTTGAAAGAAGGTAAGGCAAAAGAAGAACGTGTTTTCATTACAGTGAAAATCACACTTGTTTAATAAGTGGTTATATCAAAATAAGTAATAATGCAACTACATGTTTAAAAAATTTCAAGCAATTCTGTTTATAATGTTGACACAATAAAACACTCTTCTTGTGGCCAACACAATACTGTCCATGTTTCCCTATTTTTACAAAAAGTTTATGATTTTATTAAGAATAACAAATGCTTAAGAGCAAGACTTTCCATTTTAAATGTTATATTAAAAACAAGCAACCAAAATTACCAAATGAAAAAGAACTTTTATCATAATAGGCAAAATAAACCATGTTAGAATAGAAGTATTAAGGACATTTATTCAGAATCTTATCTATGCCACAAAGTTCAGTTTTTAAATATATTTTTTATTGATTTCAGAGAGGCAGGGAGACAGAGAAAGAGATAGAAATATCAATGGTGATAGAGAATCATTGATCGGCTGCCTTTTGCATGCCCCACACTGGAGATGGAGCTCGCAACCCAACTTGGGCATGTTCCCTGACCGTGAATTAAACCATGACCTCCTGGTTCATAGGTCGACCCTCAACTACTGAGCAACACCAGCGGGGCACTTCATATTTAAAGTGCTACTATTCTAAGACACTGAGGTTAGACCCTGAAAGGAACCCACTTAGAAAGATGCTTTGACAGAAATAAAGGAGCTGACAATCCTGCCGTTTTACATTATATCTGCTTGTGTCGTCAGGTCAGACCAGAGATGAGGTCACCTGAGAAGCAGGGGAATCTTAAAGCCGCAGGATACTATTTCCTGATCAATAAGCTAACCTAATGAGGAAAAGAGACCCTGGCTGTCAAAGTCAAGATTCCTGAGAATGAGGGGACCGCAGCATTGGTCTGACTGCAATGCAGGAAGCATGGGAGGGAAGGCGTCTCCCTGGGGAGAAGGGCCACGTCCCTGGGCAGGGATGAGACAACACATACATCCTTTTATTTATGGAGGAAAATCTGGCCACTGAAGAATGGGAGAGAAGGCCAGTGCCTCCGGTGTCCTTAGTGGTCCACATATGAGAATGTAGGAATCTATGTGGATCCCCATGTGGTTTGAACATGTGACTGTTTATACCTACACTGTGTGTCACTGTGTGTCACTGACCATTCACAGGAGTGGAGGCCAAATAACTCTAGAAAAGTCAGATCAAAGTGAACCACTCATTCGTTTTCTCTAGAAATTATTTGATATTTAAAATCACCTTTAATTATTAAGTAGTTTTAAACAAATAGAAGGTATTTTATTGTTGTTGTTAGCATTATTCCCTTTTATCTGCTTAGATAATAAGTTTCAAGTAAGTCAAATCAAGTGTCAGTGTGCTTCTGTTTTGAAATGCCCTGACCACTAGGTGTGGACCTTGAATAAAAGCTGCCAGCCAGCCCTAGCTGGTTTGGCTCAGTGGATAGAGTGTCAGACTGCGGACTGAAGGGTCCCAGGTTCGATTCCCTTCAAGGGCACAGGCCTGGGTTGCAGGCTTGATCCCCAGTTGGGGGCGTACAGGAGGCAGCCAATCAATGATTCTCTCTCATCATTGATGTTTCTATCTCTCTCTTCCTCTCCCTTCCTCTCTGAAATCAATAAAACTATATTTTAAAAATAAATAAATAAAATAAAAGCTGCCAGCCGGTTGGTCTCCAGCTGCAGCCTTTGGTGCAGGCAGCCTGCACTGAACTCAGGACCCAGGCAGCAACGGGCTGGTGTATGTCCTCACATTGATCTCGCTGACTCAACTTTGGCCAGGCAAACATGGCAAACACTTCTGCTCGTCCTAATTAACTAGTTGTCAGCATCCGCATTATACCCCATGATTTTCATTTAGAAGCAACCCCATTTGAAATCTAGTTAGAGAAAGTAGAGTCTTTTAACATATATAATATTGTTAATATAGTACCTATTTTGCTGTAATCCAGGAAATGAATCCAGCATTCCAAGATCATGCATTTCATCTGCTGTAATTCCATTTGTTTTCCCTTTATTACTTTATTCCCTTTATATTTTATTTCTATTTATTTTTGCTTGAAAAATTTACAAAAAAAGACAGAATGAAAAAAATACTTCCCTTCAACATCAAGGGAGCTTGCCAACTTTAACCATAGGGATATATATTTATTTATGTTATATAATCTTTTTTGACATTATAAAATTTCCACAAAATTGGAGATTCATAAACTATAAAAACCTATTCCAAGTTTATCCACATTTTGAGACCTTTCTATGACTTTGGAAATGGGTCTGTAAATCTGCAAAAATTTAAACTTTCCTTGAATTTCAATGAATTAGAAATACTGCAAACATAACCTTCCTTTGCATTTTTTCAAGATTTAAATTTGGGTGACCAATGGGAGAAATGGGGAAGAAAGAATGGGAGTTATGACTCAAATGAGAATACTGTATCTTAGAAGTTAAACTTACACTACATTAATTCATTTATAATTTTCTACTAATTCCTGTCCTTGCTCATTTGCTTAGTAAATAATTTTAAACGATAAAACTAATATCATAAATTTACATATTGATACAATGATAATATTCTCACTCAAAGGGAAAGAATGTGTTTTCCAAGGTTTATGTTTATATATTTTTTCTCTGTGTATGTACAGTCAAAAATCTAGACTACACGTGTTTCCAATTATATAAATTTAAGCCTCTCTAAGATTTAAATGTCAAGTGGAAATTTTCTAAAAGTTTCTATGTGCAGCTGGATTTATATATTATTTTTTCAAGGTCAACTTCAGCAGAGCTGCCAATAATGTTATGCAAGATTCATTTGGTACACTTAGCATATTAATATCATTCTGTAAGTAATCTTGATACTTAAAGGAAAATCAAAATTATCTGGACAATAAGCAATAACAAAATAAAAAATCCTCACTATACCAAATACTAAGGTATGTCTGCTAAAATATAAGTAATACTATATTTTCCCTTAAATCACAGACTGCATATTTAATCTGCTGATCATTACAGTGGGAATGATCGTTATACATTATAATGAGAATTTCAGCATCCCTTTGTCCTTGAAATATTCTGAGATGACTATATTTATTTAGGAACTTTCCCATCAATACATGTTAGTTATAATGTTTTCCAAGAAACCTCTAAAGGCAGCAATTTTCAGGAATTTGGTAAAGGAGTGTATATAGACAACTAAGAAATTTTCAAAAGGTTTTATTCAAAGATAGAGGCCCGATGCACGAAATGCATGCAAGAGGCTCAGCCCTCGCAGCCCCAGCTTCATCTGGAAGGTAGTCTGGATGGTTGTTCTGTCTAATTAGCATATTAGCTCTTTATTATATAGGATAAGAATGTGTAAAGTCTTCTGGATGAAATTTTGCTTTCCATGATCCGCTCAAGGTCATTATTACTGACAAGAATATTAACAAAGTTTTCCATTGACAAGATGCCATGGAGATCTATAATTTTTAGATAATCAAATAGTCCTGAATAGCTTCTACTTAAAGATGATTAAGGCTATGCGTGAAATGATTACCATAGAGACCCTTCATCAAGTAATCCACAAAATACGTGAAGAAAACAGGAAGAACTGCTGATCTGAAATGCAACACCAAACTGGTTCCGAGACAGACATGGGTTCCTCAACAAACTTAACTGCTTTAGATATTCTTGAACTGTCTTCCTCCTAGATTTAAACACCTTTATACTTATTGGCGCTCCAAAGACACTATATGCCTTCAGTCCAGAGAGAATGTATGTGTATCTCTATACATGAGAGATGATTTGATTAATTCATCAATGTGTGTGGGGTGGGGGGAGGGAGGATTAACTCTTTGTAAATAGTCAATAAAATCCTTCAACTTGTTAAAATAAAATGTTTTAAGAATAGTTTAATTTATGGGTCACACTGGATTGTAAAGCATCTTTAAGAGGTGAGACTTTTTAAGTTATCTATGACACCAGCAACCAGCATCCGTCAATCTTACCTGCTAGGCTCATCTTGACTGTGGAGGCAACAGTTCATGCTATTCACCAAGAAGCTAAACAAACGACTGTACAAGGACTTGGCCAGGAGGTCCCGGTAAAATTCCGCCATCTCTATAGTATGCCGCCGTGTGATCATATCCCCTGGGATAGTGGAGAGGAGAAGGAGCCTAAGAACAAGGGTTTCTCTCATTGAAAAGCAAGCAAAACTGTGCATATCCTATTCATCCCTCACCCACCCCCAAGCCCCAGAAGATGTTGAAAAATATACCAAGATTCTAATAAATGCGGTCTCTGTCAATTATTACATAAAATGTTTCCCTTACATGTGTCGTATACATTGCATCTTATTTGTTACAATTGTTGACCACAGCTTTTGACCTTTTGCAGACTGTTAATTTCCGTTCTCTTAGGGAACCAACTCTTTGAAGGGCCCCTCTTAACAAGTTTCCTGCTAACAGCTCACTGGTTTGGATACTGAATCATCCCCAAGGCATTTGGAAACCTGGCCATCTGGAAAATTAGTCATATTTTAAATATTTTTAAAGAAATGATCCAACTAACCAAAATGTGGGTCTGGAATGTGGGAACTAGATTGGGCCTTAAGGAAGAAATTTCTGTGTCATTCTCCAAGAGATGGCAGTTGGAACCTTGAATAATAAGATTTTTAGAAGAGAACAGACTCGAGAAGAAAAAAATAAGTGAGGATGTTTTGGAATTGAGCCTATGACAGCATTTATGCTAGAGAGTGGAGAGGAAATGGGAACGTCACATTCAAACTTTGTAGCCTTGGCCAACCTGGCTAAGCATTGCAACTCAGGCTGAGCAGGGAGATAAATGGCAGGATGAAGACCACGTGAAATGAGGGTTAAACTATTAATCACAGACATGCACACAAGGGAACAGAACTGCTTCAGAGACTGGTTGAAATAAGCAAACAAACAAACAAAACAACAGCAGATAATTGAGAGTCAGGGAGCTATACGTTCAAGGCCATGGGGATGGAACAACACATAATAGCAGTGAAAGCAGTGCGCCATCTATGATATTATAGAATTGGGGTCTCTAGAGTCGGTCAGCCTGATTACAGGCTCTAATTCGACACCCACCTGGCAGGTGTGTAAGGAGATGAGGGCAAGTGTAAGCAGAGGAACCTGCATATATTAAATTATAGATATTAATGGAGGGTTCAATTTTTCGTTAAGAAGTCAGGAGAAAAAAAAACCCAACGTATCTGGATAACTTCAAGAAACTTAGTGTGGATGGATGCAAGAACAGCAGTGGGAACATGACTAAAAACGAAGCATAAAAGTTGGGTACGGCCCAAGTAATAAAGGACCTCTTGTGATGTCCTAAAGTGACAAGCTAAACTCTAAAGATGTTGGGAAATCTTTCAAAGACTGTTCCCATGGATGAAATCATGTTTGCAGAAAGCTTATACCTGAAAGCAGTGTGAAAAGAAGGCAACATGAGATGAGGAAAAGATAAAATATGAAGGAGACTATTCCTGCCAAAATCTGGGGAGAGAATGATAAATTAAGGAAATGGTGATAGAAATGAAGGGAAGGCAGGAAGAATGACAGCTGTTTATGGAGTAGAGCTGGAGTGTGTCTGATCTACTCGGTGGAGAAGGAGGAGGAAGAGGTATCAAAAATGACTTTTGGCCCTGACCGGTTTGGCTCGGTGGATGGAGTGTCGGCCTGCTGACTGAAGGGTCCCGGGTTCGATTCCGGTCAGGGGCATGTACCTTGGTTGCGGGCACATCCCCAGTGGGGAGTGTGCAGGAGGCAGCTGATCGATGTTTCTCTCTCATTGATGTTTCTGGCTCTCTATCCCTCTCCCTTCCTCTCTGTAAAGAATTAATAAAGTATATTTTTTTTAAAAAAAGAATGACTTTTGGACAACTGAGTGGATAACGGGCAGATTCACAGAGTTCAGAAACATGGAAGGGAACTCTAGATGTAAGTCACGTACCTAAATACCTGCAAGTAGGTCCAATAGGAACAGAGGTAAGAAGAAGGGTGCTTTAGAGTAAAAAGATCAGGTGGATGGTGAGTCCTCAGAATTCCAATACAGAGGAAGGTTGGAAAGGCAATGATTTATAGTGAATAACTGAAGAGGATGGGGGAAAGCCACTCCCCTGGCCCCTTGACTAGAGATGCATACAGCATAGAGACATATTCTGGGAATTGGGTAACATTAGATTCTAATTCCAAAAATGCCATTTCTTAATGATTACAAAGTTCTTTAACCTCTTGGAAATCTTAGTTATGGAAATGAAAATGCCCACCTCTTAGAAACCTATCAGAATTCTTAAAAATCCCCACATTTTGGGGGGCTAGTTAAAAAAAATCCCCACATTTATAGCGGTTGCTACAATTCTTGTTGTAAGTGCCCAATAAATGGTAGCTATTTATTAAAAGTGTTGACATGGAGGGAAAAGGATGCTCTTCATTGAAGAGGACAGTATGGCGCCACATACACACAGGGACCCAATGTTTTCATTAAATCAATGCTCTTGGGTTGATGACTTTGTCTAAAATGACTGAGCGGCTAGAAAGGGTGACCAATTAGTCAAAATGGTCTCTCAAAAGCTCTGAGAGTTTAGGATATATAGTGAGATCAAGTGACCAGACAGGTGTGCAATGTTTTTCCCATTTGGCATTCAATTCACAGAAATCGTTTCACTGAGTGGGAAAAGGTAAGTCGGCATTTATTTTTTGTATTTCAAAGAAGACCAGGGTTGCACCAAGGTGAAAGCCAGAGTATTGGGAAAACGTACCTTTAAAATATTGAATATCAGTTGTTAGAGCAGACACCAGTTCATCTGCTGAGACTTGTAACATCCCAGCCACTACAATTAAAGCAGTGTGGAAAACTAAAGTTAGTATTTTTTTTAGAGAGAGAACATTGTACTTGATGGTTATGATTTATAAGCTTTACACAGACCCATTAGAAAATGTGTGTATTAAAGAAAACGAAACAACCAACTTGTCAAATTCAACTAAAGAAACAGCCTGTAAGTAATCAAAGTGTTGATGAGTGTTAATGGGCTCCTGCATTAAGTCACAACTGGTTTTTTCTCTCCTTTCCCTCACAAATAGGTATGGTGGTTTTCTCCCAATTCCTGATTAAAGGCCTTTGATATGAGGTGAAGATATGCTGTTCACTGACAATCTGTGGTTTTAAGGTATTTTAGAGGGGAAAAAAAAACACAAAAAACTGGGAGTGACTAACAGGCAACTTCAAAGGAGAGAGATTTTTGGCAAGATCTTTGCAGGAAAGCAATTATATTAGGTTTAAAATGTTTAGCTAATAACATGCCCCCAAAATATACTGGGTGGCGGGGGTGGAGGGTGGAGAATAGTTAGAATATAAATAAACCCAAGTATGTGCAGAAGAATCAACCTGTTAACGTGGTGGGCAGCAGGAGAACATAAATGTACATCTTGTTATTCATTCCCGTAGCCATTTATAAAAAAGAACAAAGTTACAGGGTTGTTTTTCCCCTCACCATTCTCACTGAATTCTGCTCTAGTGTTTATTCCACCAGGCTTTTCTGTACTGTGTCTCCATCTACTGGCAGGTCTGCAAAACTGCACACGTATTAGGTCTGTTCCACTGACCTTGTTCTAGGAGCTGGAGGTCGGAAACAAATGCAGAGTCCTCCTCAGTCAGAGACGTGAACCGAATGTCTCCAACGTGTAATATTGCTGCTAGAATCACAAGCAGATTCTCCACCTCCTGTGCATTTTATAAATAGAGAAAAGGAACAGGGTTGCTTAAAAGAAAATAGACTTAAAGAGTAAAACCCTTTAAAACCCTAAAAGTAGGTTTAAAAAATGATGTTACTGTGGTCAACTGCTCCTATTCTAGATAAGCAAAGAAATTATTGCATAATGCATTTCAGTATTTTCACTAGGACTTACAGAGAAAAATAAAGATCTAATGATAATGAATACTTCTCCACAAAAATACCTAAATTATGTCTGACTGTCTTAAAGTTAAAAATAATTTTTTTAAAAAATGTTTTTGATATTAGTAGCCTTGTGATTTTTCAGATCTCTAATGTTCGAATCTCTAATTCAAAATTAAAATCTCATAGTTCAATGCACATTTCCTGTAAATCAATGTTTCTGTTCCTTAAACAAAAGAGAGGGAGGAGGTGATGTTCTGACGTGCGTTACGTTGCCACAAAAGTATCAGAATGAAAACTGAATCATTGTGTCGTGGTGGTCTGACTGGCTGGACGTCCCTAGGAAGGTCAGGTTCACACGTCCTCCCAGGGCTGGCCTGGAACTGTGCACGGAGGCTAATCAGACCTCCCGGCCGCTGTGGCTGCTTCGCTAGGGAACGTGGGCCATGGTGTCCACCTTCTAGTTCTCTCTCTCGTGAGATAAACTGTTATTGTGATTAAAGAATTTTTTTACTTCTCCTAGAAAATTAAGGGTGGCATGATGAAAACAACTGCCTAGACAAATAAAATGCTAATTGCTTTTTAAAGGTATTTTAAGGAAAACTCAGAAAAAAATGAATTTGGCAAGAGCTATCTCTGAGCAGAAGGTAGAAGGAAGTAAAAGGATGTTTGCTGAGAGAAAATATCTGAGAATCTGGAACTCTGCATAAAAAAATACCTTAAATTTGGTCTTGGACAGTCATTTTGTGGTAAGAATGAAAAGTCAGTAAAATACTGCAAGCTAGAACATGCTTTTCTGGAATAATATGTACTTGGTGTGGTGGTATCAATAGTAAAATTGGTCAAGTTCCATAAAGGGCAAGTGTCATAACCTTTTAAAGTTTTACTTATTTTCCTAACCTGCAATTTGGAAATAAAAAGCTCCTGCCTGTGGAAGTTTTACTAGGAACTACTCTTATTTTCTTTATAAATATATAGTTGAAACAATATACTCCATGGGACTTCATGCATTTCTCCAGAACCTCTACGTTCATCAGAAGACATCGTTTGATCATCTTTAAAATGAGGGCATTGGCAACAACGATGGCCCAGTCATTTTCAGGTTAGCCCTCTATGATTTCGGCACGACTTAAAAGTGTTTTTTGGTAACTCCCAAATCATAAACGAGTGTTTCAAATTTAATCATTTATGCTTGTTTAAATAACACTTTACCTCTTACACTACCAGACAACCCCCCCTCACCTTTCTTTTAATGAGTTCTTTTTTTATTATTGATTTTAGAGAGAGAGGAAGGGAGAGGAATAGACAGAAACATTGATCAGCTGCCTCCTGCATGCCCCTAATTGGGGACTGAGCCTGCAACATAGGCATGTGCCCTGACCGGGAATCGGACTCATGACCTCTTGGTTCATGGGTTGTTGCTCAACCATTGAACCATACTGGCTGGGCGGCTGGGCTCCCTTGACCTTTTAATAAACCCAGTAACTCCTTAAATGTTCTAGCCCCCCCGCCGCCCCCCCCACCATGAGATAGGCACTTCTGGACACACCCATAGGAAGGCTTTGCTCTGCCTGCAAGGATCTTACAGTTTAATCGTGGAGAGCAGAGGTGTGAAAGCTAGCCTTAACATGAATTAAAGTCCAGTAAGAACTATGACAGGGACACAAATAAATTGCTCTGAGAGTAGGGGGCACCTTGAGCAACAGTGAGCAACACTCACATGCCTCCTTGCTGGCAGGCTAGGCTGGCAGTGATGGAGGGAAGAGGTGGAGGTGCCTTCGTGAACAGAACTCCCAAGACCACAATCACTTACAAGGCCTTGATTCAAGGCCTTCACCCGCCTAGAAATACCTTCCTTCTAATCGCATTGGACATGATGAATCCCTATGAAGTAGACTCCATTGTCATCATCCCAGTCTCCCCAAAGGGTCAAGATGAAGGGATTGTCTTTTGTTAAAATGCCCACATTTCTTTTACCAAGAAGGGTGTTGGATTCTCTATTCGCTATCTTAGGTGGGAGGTATATTTTGCTTATCTTGCCTTTAGAAATCATGGATTTCTAAAGCCCTGTTTCCAAGCACCTGTACTCTGGCAGAATAGTTCCTCACCCACCTCTACAACCCAGTTTCCTATAAGACAGCAGACATTTCAGGCATGGAGAAAGGGGGGAATAACAAAAAATTCAACCGCAGCAAGTGGAAAGACAGGAAAGTGCAAAGGGGTAAGAGTTAGTAAAAGACAAACACATAGATTGGATAATCAGAGAACAAAAAAAAAATGCCATATGATTGCCCTTCCCAGAATTCCAATCACTAATAGGGTAAGGGTGGAGTGAAGCAAAGATCCCAGAGCTAATTCATTTAGGGTGAGTCCCCATCTCTTTCCCCTACCTTTTCGGCACCTTCTCACCCCTTCCTACTCCTTCCTACCCATTCACTGCCCCATTAGCCTTATCCATGTGGGCAAGAGAAAAACACACAAATACCCAAAGCAATTAAGTTAGTGGTTTAAGGAAAAGAAAAATAACTTTTAAAAAACTGTGACTAAATTTGGGTTCCTGGGCTACTGGCATACCCAAGTTACCCATGCAATCTCATATCAATTATTAATGAGGAACTGGCCATAATTCAAGAAACACCATATTCAATAGGGGGAATCAGATAATATGTAAGGGAAAGAGATTTGGGGGAATTCTGAGAAGTCACAAGGCTTAGATCACTTCATATTTCTTATTCACTAGATCTGTGCCATCCAATTCAGTAACCATTGACCCACACAATACCATTTCAATTTAAATTAATTAAAACAATGAACAATTAAAAATCCATTCCCTCACTCTCATTAGCCACATTCCAAGTGTCCAGTACCCACAGGTGACCATGGCTACCATACTGTACAACACAGATCCAGGACATTTATATGATCCTAGAAATTTATACATGTTAAATTATATTTCTCAGTTTCATAATGCTTGCATGTATTTGGTAATTCTTTAAAAATAAAAAAGGACAACAGTGTGTTGACTGCTCAAGGGATGGGGTAGGGGGAGGTGGAAAAGGGTTTAGGAGGCATAAATAGTGATAAATGAAAATTTGACTTGGGGTGGTGAACACTCAATACAGTGTACAGACGATGTGCACCTAACATGTATGATTTTGTTAACCAGCCTCACCACAATAAATTCAATTAAAAGGGGTGAAAAGGCTTTAAATTATTCAGGAAGATAATGTAATACAGTGAGTCTCACCAATAAACAGTTCCTTCAGCTCTGCCGATTTTCTCTTATGTGGGTCAATGTAAAGTTCTTTTCATCTGTGTGGTTCACCGGGTTCATTTGGGAGAAGGGCTCCTTGGCCACCCTCTGGGAGGTAGCAGCCCCTCCTCTTGTCACTCCCTATTGGTCTCCACGGTACCTGTGACCTGACCACCTTGGGTATGTCTATCTCCCCACTAGAATGTAAACTCCAGGGGCAGAGATCAGATTGGGGTTCATTCTCTGCTGACTCACCAGTGTGTGCAACCACATCCGGAATGTGATAGGGACTCGGTAGAAGTTTTTGAAAGATTAACTTTAATAAATTAGTGCAAGGTTGTTTTCTCAGTGAAATATTTATAACTCACCAAGTTACTGAAGCCAACTACATTCAAGGCTTGTTTCAAAACAGCAAACCTCTCCCTGTTCAGGGAATGCTCTGCTGTTGATAGATCGTCTCTCAGGGTCTGGTTCAAATACCTGTGAAGATAAAGAGCACACAGCATTATAGCTTGGCTCCTGGTCAAGCTGCCGTGGTGACAAGTCACTGCGGCCACAGTTGGCCTCCAGAATAATGCAAGTCGCCTGGACATTGCGCACCCATGTGTTTATAAGGCTCGGATACATAATAGCACATGATGTTTCAGGAAGGAAACAAAAACGGCTCTTGTTGTACCAGAACATATTTACACTGTTTTACTCAGTTCTCACCTTAGCTGCACCCTTCCTTCTGAAAAGAGAAGGTCACGGTGTTTTATGTATTTCACACAGAAATTTAGTGGGTCCTATCATAGGCGGTGTCATTAATATGTTTATTAAAGAGTGTTAATTTAAAGTAACTTATTATTTCTTCTTGTCGGTATCTTTTAATTACGAAGTGGTTGGTTATGTCATTGATTTATTCCTTTCATTCAACAAACACATAAGAATCACCTGCCAAATATACAATGCTAGCCAGCTGAGGATATAAAGATAAAGAGCTCACCCCTGGAAGCTCAACAGCCAAAACAAAAATATGTATCCAGGGCAAAGGCAAGAGAAGAGGTAGCTACAACACAATATGGAACTAGAACAATAGAGATGAATGGGAGGGGTTAGTAAGTGGCCCAGGAGGGGACCAAACCTAGAAGAACATGATGAGGAATGGTTGTAGGAGAGAAAGAAGCTTTGGTTTCAAGAACTGACACTTCAATAAGAATCTGCCAAACAAATGTTTAAGGACGTTCATTAAAAATTAGCAACACACACAAAGGAACACAGGATTGAGTGTGTGTGATGTATATGGGAAACTTGGGAAGATCAGCAAAATTGGAGTCTATGGCAGTGGTCAGCAAACTGCGGCTCTTTGGCCCCGAGCAGAGATGGATGAGGTTGGGGACGTAGCCAGAGTTTCGTATGCCTTGCAGAAGAGTTTCAACTATGTCTTGGAGGTAATGGGTAGTGCTAATGGTCGTGAAACAAAGAAATGACACGAGCAGATTGTCGATTCAGATAGAACATTCTGGTATCCCCGTGAAAGATTACCTGGAAAGAGATAAGGCAACTAAGAGTGCTAGGTGATCCAGTGAGAGACCACCAGTGGTGAAGAAAAGAAGATATAGAGAGGCATCCAGGAGGCTGAATTTGCAGGATGAGGGGGCAGATTGGATACAGGGGGGAGAGAAAGGAGATGTGTCAATGGTGCCTTTCAAGTTCCGATCTGGGGAAAAGAGTGGACTGTGG